TTAAAAAATTATTCTGTACCTGTAACAAATTTCATAAAAATTATTTTGTCTCACTATTTTTTTAATCATTTATAAAATTATAAATAATTTTTTTTAAATCACAAATTATAAAAAATTTGAAATGTTGTTTAGAATATTTTTTAGCATATGTGGGACTACATAACTTTCTTCGTAAAGAATGTCATTATGATGAATTTCCAATTGAAGTGATGGTCGAACCTTCATCTTCAACATTACTAGTTAATGAAAATCATAATTTTGAGTCTATTATTAAATCACAGGAGCAAGAGCGAAAAGATACTAATGTTTGGAGAACTAGTATAACTATGAATATGTGGGTGATTTCTATTTAGAACGACATGATATACGAAAAAATATTATTTTTATTTATCCAGACATTATTGTTTTTTATTTTATTTTTATATTTGACTTTTTTTAAATTTGAATGTATGAAAAAAATCTTGAATTCTTATACTATTTAAAAAATTTATGAAATTCTACAAAGTTCACAAAGTCCCGCAGAATCCATTAAAATCTTAACTTAAAAGTCTTGCATAATCCATTAAAATCTTGATTGAAAGTCTTGTGGAATCCTACAAAATCTTAAAAGTCATGAAAATCTCGCAAAGTCTTTTAAAATCTACAGGACTTTTTTCAACTAAAAAAGTCTTTTAAAATCCTAATCCAATACACCCCCCTTAATTAACTTTTTTATTTGATTATGCCATAAATTTGATTAAGAATCTATATTTGTATTATTAATTTATTTGAGTCATAATACATTTGTATTATTAATTTTAATGTTCAAATTCTTAAAACCATGTTGAATACAATTACCTTAACCAATATAATTAAGTATTTTATGAATTAAAAATGATAATCATTTATATTTTATATAAAAGAAATGGAGGTGTATTTGTATAAAATAAATCTCATAAGATTTCTAATTTAAATTTAAAATTGTAAAAAATTAAAATGAATATGCATGTTATTATTATCAATTAATTTGAACAAAAATATATGATTTTATCACTAATTAAAATGTTCATTTATTGATTACCATAATCAAATATATAAGAATATAATATATAAAGTAGAATCCTTTTTAGTAGGCATGGCAACGGGGTAGGGCGGGGGCGGATTTTACGTTTCCCACCTCCGCCCCCGCCCCCGCAAATTTAAATCGCTCTCGATACCTGCTGAGGGTAAAATTTGAGTACCCATCCCCGTTCCCGGCGGGGTTCGGGTTTCCCCGCCCCCGCTCCTACCTTTTTTATTTCTTTTTTCTTTAAATAAATATGAAAAAAAATTTAAAAATAAAATAATACAAATTTTTACATATAAATATTTTTAATTTTGGTTTATATATATATATATAAATAATTTTTTAATTATATTATTAAGTGGGGCGGGGGCAGGGGCAGGTACGGGGATGGGGGCGGGGCGGATATTAATATCCTCGTCCCAGCCCCCGCCCCCGATTTTATCGATCGGGGAAAAACTCGAACCCGATAAACACAGGTTTTTCCCGTTCAAATCAGGGCATGTACCCACGGGGGCGGATTAGATTACCATGCCTACTTTTTAGTACCCACTTTTTTAAAGATAACTATATTTCTTCATAGACACACAAAGTACTTTTTTCCCTACTATTATTAATAATAATAATAATAATAATAATTTTTGTCTTTTGAGATAAAATCTTTGTTTGTGATTCTATAAATTATATTACAAACAATCAAAACTAATGAATTAAAATGTAAAAATATTATTAAAAATATGAGTGGTAAAATGGACCACGACCTGCAGGTTGGCCCATCAAAAATTGATGAGTCAGATTAGATATTCTAGCTTGTCAACTCATCTAGCCTAACCTTGTAGTCTGACAAGTCAAATGACGAGTCAAGATAGGCCAACCTACCAACCTGCCTATTTTTTTAAAAATATTATTTATTTATTTATTATTTTTAATGTAAGTTTAATTAAGTTATTTCAAATTTTTTATATATAATCTTGTGATTTGGTTTGTAACAAATTTGTTCTGTATTTGATTTATTTTATTATATTTAATTTAAGATTTTTTGTGTAATAAATTTGTTACAAGAGTTATAAATATTATTATAGTTACATATCTATTTTGTTATTAAACAAATTTGATATTTGTTTAAGCAAGTCGACTGACATCCCTCTAGTTGTGGATTTGTAAAGTGCAACACAAATGGTGGGGGCTAGGGACTCTCCTAGTCTGGTTGCAAATGGTGGGCTCTTTAGAGATCATAGTGGTGTGTTTTTGTGAGGATTTGCTATTTTTTTTTAGGCATAAAGGATGCTCTTCATGCTGAGTTGGTGCTAACAACGTCAGATAATATTTTTAGAGTTAATCAACTATACACTGTTAGTGTAAAGTTTTTTTACATTGGCAACCAATCAGATCTATTAATAATGTCATGTCATTTGCTCATTTAATTAAATTAAAATAAAAAGGCACTATTAATAGATCTGACTGGTTTCCATTGTAAAATTTTTTACACTGACAATGTATATGTGATTAACTCATATTTTTATTGTTCCTTGGACAGTACATAATAGACGGAAACATTGCCTACAACTTTGTTTGAGAATGCAGTTCTTTTCATCTCATATTTTTTGGGAGGGTAATGCTTGTGCTGATAAGCTAGTGCTTTATGAGCTTCAACATAAACTCAATTTTGTTTGGTGGAATTTATTACCCAATTTTATTAGGGAGGATTTATTTCCCAATCATTGTGGATTGCCTTCGTCAAATTTGTTGGTGTTTCATTGATTTTGGCCTAGTCCCCCATGACTTATTAATTTTTTTAAAGTTTTATTTTAATTTTATTCGAGGCATGCTGCAAATGATTGGTAAGCCTAGGGGTGCCAACATTATTGAGATGCCTTGATTCTATAGTGAAGCTTTGCACTCCCCATCTTCATTTAAAAAAAAATTGAGATTTGTTTTCCAACAAATAAAATTAAATCAATTATAAATTAATATATTTTTATTATTATTTAGGTACAATGATTTATGTAAATCCTTTAGATATTAAGATAAAAATATGCTAGAAGAATAACTTAAAATAAATATGCATTTAATATGCATTTTTTCTTTTATTTCTTAACTCTTTTTACCCTCTTATTTTTTCTTCTTTTTTTAGTTAGCTTGCCAACTTGTCCTTAGGTGGGACAAGACAATGTGTCTAGTTCATTTTCATTTGGTGGGTTGGTCTAATTTGGCCAATTTTTATGGGCCAATACTGGGTTGAGGCCAAATGGGTCAAATTGACATGTTTTGTTATCCCTAATTAAAAGTGATATATTAATGACACATTATCATTTTATTATTATATATTTTTAATAAATTTAATATATTAGTTTATGAATATATTAATAAATTCATTAATTTTGTTTATATAGTATAGTAATAGTAATATATTAATATATTAATATATTAAAGACAATGAATTCATTTTTTCAATATAATATATTTTTTAAAGCATCACAAACATTATTTTGTTTCTGTTCTGGTATAGAAATTAGGGTAGTTTTATCCAAAGTATAAAAGTGATTACTAATGAAAAAACTTGTCCACCTTTGCTTAGTCTCTATATTATATAATAGTAGAGTTATCTTTTGATCCTATCAAATTGGATCTATTTTATCTTTTAGCTTATTTATCTTATATCTTCATAAAATTGTTTATCATGACATATATTATCCTTTCTAGTTTGTTTGGATTGATGCTCTTAATGATAAATATATCATTTGATAGTTTCATTGATCATTGAGATGGTCGACCTAAAGTAGATTGACTTTGAGCCTAGCATAGTACACTTTAAGTTGATACTCTTAATGATAATTCCATCATCTTGTGATCCATTAATTGTAAAAAAATGCTAGGTTTAATCGATTCATAAATGTTTTACAAAAGGTGAATCAACCCAACATAGATACATTAAAAAAATGCTCGACCTAATGTAGATCGGTTATGAACCTATGATAGTCTAATTTCCAAAAAAAAAAAAAGTGATATATTAAATATAAATTTTAAATGTTTAACTAAATTATATATTTCAAAAACATACACAGATAAAAATAAACTACTAAATTGAAAAGTATAAATAACATTAAAATCAATAAAACTAGAGTTTATCTTATATTAACAATAAAAACATATATTATGTAAATACCTTACCGTAAAATAATAAATATATTATTTAATTAAATAACCCACCTAAAAATAATTTAATATCTAAATTTAAAATATTTTTTTATTATCTTTATATTTTTAATTTATTGAATTATATCAGCAATAAACTAACTATACTTAATAATAAAAATTAAAATAGAGAAAACAAAATATTATAAGAATCTAAAGCTGATAAATTATTATACAATAATTAAAATTAAACAACGATATATTTTTAAGGCCTTAAATATATTTAATTATAAAATAAAATCTATTATTTCCATTTACCATCTCATGTGTAAATATGATAGAATATTATGTTGTGATATAATTAAAATCTGATAAGAGATTAATCTCTAACAAATTGACACTCAAGATAATATTACGATAAAAAAAAAATATCATCTCATTCGTGATATATATATGTATATATACACACCATCTCATCAATCATGGTCATTGTCACAAGGACCAACATCACAAATGATACATGAAAGAGGAAAATTCATTTAAGCCTAAAATTATCGAAACAGGCACAAAAACAAGCCACCAAAATTTTGAATTCCTTTTGAGAGAGTCATTCTTTCCTTGCTAGTTTCTGGTTCTCGCACCGTCCTCCCTCTCCCCACAATTTAAAATTAAACAAACACACCACACCACCAATAATTAAGAATTGTTAATTTACCATGACGCCACCAAAATAGAAGCAGGACCTGCGCCCAATCGAAAGCCGCCACGTGTCCCGAAGAAGGGGTCCACGTCAACGTAGCGGCAGGGAAATAGAACCATAGAGACCCACCGAAGAAACTACCTCACCGAATCCAAATTCTCTTTTTCTTGTATCGCTCTAATTCCCCAAATTCCGGTTTTTTCCTTTTTGTTTCCCAGATCCCGTCGTTGAACCCACTTTTTCCCTCCCTTTCTCAGGAAAATTTCCGATTTTCTCGAGAAAGTGAAACGGAATTATGAGCTTTCAGGACATCGAGGCTGGCCGGTCCTTCGGTTCCAGGCGCGGGTTGACCAATGGGAAGCAAGACCCTACGCAAGCGGTGGCCGCCGGAATATTCCAGATCAACACCGCCGTCTCCACCTTCCAGAGACTCGTCAACACCCTCGGAACCCCCAAAGACACCCCTGAACTCCGCGAGAAGCTGTTAGTTCATTCAATTCATCCGTTTTTCTTTTTTGGTTTTTATTCCGTTGTGGAATTCTGATGGAGACTGTTGATTCAGCTGATTTTCCCCTCGAATTACGATAATTCGACGTTGCTTTATGTTTTGGTGATCGTGTGTCACAGGATTGGTTAAGTTTGGGTTTGTTCTCAATTGAATTGCTGTGGAGCTTTTTTTAGGGTGATCGGAGAATAATACTAGAGAAAATTCCAAGTTGCTTGTTATAATGTTAATCGCCTTAGGAATTTGGGGCTACCGCTTTGTTTCAAGTTGTTAGGATTGTTGTGATTTAATGTTTGGTTCTTTGTGCATCTGTTTTTCCACTTTTGATAGAGTCAATTGAAAAGCATATGGGAAGGATAATCGAAATTTTTTCTTTGATTGAGGTCCTGTAATATACCTTCTGGTTTTTTCTTTAGTCGGGATTAAGCTATAGTAGTGATGTGTTAATTTTTCATATAGGGAACAGGACATGCTGTGTAATAGAGCATATGATGATTTGGCCCTGTTCTTGTAATTTTTAAGCAGTTATACTTTTACGAATGAAACTTCTGATTCAAAAGTAGATAACAGATTAAGCTGAGGGATTTTTGGAATCTGAACGCTTTTTTCAGCTTGCAAACTGAACTCGAATGCCCCTCCCTCCCTTGTATTTATGTTTTAATTTAGTGGAACAAAAACATCTTAGTCTCTTGCTGTGTTGGATTTTTTAAACTTGCAGCCACAAGACGAGGCTTCATATTGGGCAATTGGTGAAGGATACATCAGCTAAACTTAAGCAAGCAAGTGACATTGATCACCATGCTGAAGTTAACGTAAGTTTGACCCTTTATCTTGTGTTGTAATGCATCTGCATGTGCAAAGTGGTTTGTTTGTATGGTCTCAGTCTTTATGATCATTGGTCAACTTCCAAAATGCATGAACTTCTCTGGACGCTATTTTTGCTTATATTCTTGCTAGCACTTTTATGGAATTGTAATTTCATAATCAAAATGCATCATTTTTTAAAGAATACTGCAGAAATTTGTTACTGGCAATGTCTTCCTGTGTATTGCATTTTAGGATGCAATGAGCTTCAATGTTTTTTACCTCAAAAACATTTCTTATTTTTGCAGGCAAGCAAGAAGATCGCAGATGCTAAACTTGCAAAAGATTTTCAGGCAGTTTTGAAAGAGTTTCAGAAGGCACAACGTCTTGCAGCTGAGAGAGAAACAGCATACACTCCTTTTGTTCCACAAGCAGTCCTTCCTTCAAGGTGATTTATCAATTATTATTAGAACCTGTAAAAGTTTAGGGGCAAGGATATGTTCCTCCTTTGTTTTTAAGTGTGTGGCTTATGCAGAATGTGAACTGTTCCTGAACAATCAAGAGTAGGTTACTTTTAGAATTCCACGGTTTAATTTGTATGCACTTGGTTTCTTGGTCATCAATTGTTCTTCTGTAGTCTCTGTAGGTGCTTTGTTGGTATTAATTCTAATTACCTTTGCATACAATGGTTAGGACTTCTGACATGTGATTTTCTTTTGGTTTGCAGCTATACGGCTAGCGAGTTAGATGTTGGTTCTGATAAGTCAGCAGAACAGCGTGCCCTACTTGTGGAGTCAAGGAGGTAATTACTCATTTATTAATAGTAGTGAATCAATGATTTTGCAGATTAATTTTCTCAAGATTATTCCAGTGGTTCCGATAAGAGAAATAACATGATATAACTACTCCTGTGGTTTTATAGCCTGTCTCTAACCCAAGTAAAGGAGAAGGGTTGTGTTAGGTTCAGCCAACGTAAAACTCATCAGTATATCAAATATAGATAAAATTAATATGATATATGGTGTGACATCACACTTTGAAGTGTAATTATAGGTCAATGATCAATATTAATCATTTGCAAATTTTAAAAAAATAGATGCTCCCCCCCCGCTGGTTCAAAGTAGTTGCAACATGAATTAATCCTTCGATAAAATTGATTGGAACATCAATGATTTACTAGAAAAGGCCATTTTTTTTATTTAACTGTTTTATTTAGTAACACATACCTAGCATATTTAACCACAAAGTACTATTATGATGAAACAAATTGATACCAAAATCTTTATCTCTCCCCTCTCCCTCCCCCTTTATTTTTATTTTTATTTTATAATTTTCTTTTGTGCAATGGAATTAGTGGCATAATCAATGGCCAGATTCTCTGTTGTGTTGCTAAATTAGATGAGCAACTGAATTCATTTGTGTTTTCAGAAAAGCCTTCTTTTCAAATTCCCTATATTGCATTATTCTAGATGCTTCTAGTACTTTAGCTCTTGCGCTATCATGCTGCAGGCAGGAGGTTTTATTCTTAGATAATGAGATTGCCTTCAATGAGGCTATCATTGAGGAAAGGGAGCAAGGCATTCAAGAAATACAACAGCAAATTGGTGAAGTTAATGAAATCTTCAAAGATCTTGCTGTGCTTGTCCATGAGCAAGGAACCATGATTGGTAATTTATTGCATTCCCTTTTGTTTTTCCTGGTTACATGCATCTCTAATATTGCTTTATGAATTTAATTTTCTGTACTTGTACATGTTATCTTATGCCACTAAATTTCATTTTGTAGATGATATTGGCTCCAACATTGAGAACTCCCATGCAGCAACAGCACAAGCAAAATCTCAACTTGCAAAAGCTTCAAAAACCCAAAGATCAAATTCATCTTTGGTAATATATAATTCTTCTTATTGAAATTATATAACTCATTTCATCTCTCAACCCCTTTCCATGAAATGAATTTATATATGTGGAATCTCCTGAGTCCTGAGGAGGTATCATTTAATTAGGATTGACGTAAGGGCCAAATTAGAAGAGGACTGACTCAAGCCAAAAAAGGGGATTGGCTTAAATATAGTTTTGCATGGGCTTGCTGTATTAAAGTCGTCTTGACATATGAAATCATATTTATTAGTGACTAAATGGTCTGTACTTTGTAGTATTAGGAATGACCAGGACCCATGAAGCTTGAATCTATGTAGGTGGCTTATAGTTTTGTCTAGTTTTCAGTTTGCATATTGCATTATATTTTGCTTCTGTTTTGAAAGACGGATTATTGCATTGTTAGCACGAGATGGCACGGAAGGAGTGGATGTAATAACTATTACTTTTTTTTTTTAGTTTCCTTCTCTCAGGAGTTATTAATTATTAGACTTTCTGTCACCTTGATCTTTGGTCACCTTTATTTTATCTTTATTTTTTCCTTTGTTAATCTTATGTTCCTTTCTTTTTTCTTTTTTTTTCCCCTCAAAGACATGCTTGCTTTTGGTGATATTTGGGATTGTGCTTCTCATCGTGATCATAGTTCTTGCTGCTTAGTCAAAGATTGTATCAATTCCGTTATGGAGCAAATGCATATATACGGAGCAGCAGATAGCGTCTCCCTTGATGATGTCACTTGATTGGTGTTTTACCGGGTCTGGTGGTTGACTGGAGTTTGTTGCATCTGATTTCAGTACATGATGTGGGAATTCACATAATTTTGTTGTGGGGTGTTATGTTCTCTCTCTGTGTTAGTCTTTGGGATTTTAAGGATGTGTCACGAATTATGGTGTATGTTCTCTCCTAGTTTGTTTAATTAAAAAGTATCAATTCTTTGATTTTCCTTTACTTGTAAATGCAACACTAAAACTGGCTTGCGGTGCTGACTCTTCAGTCTTCAGCAAAACCTTCGAATATCATAATCTGTTTCCTTTACTTGGAGTTATAATGTTGTCTATGGAGAAAAATTGTATACATACCTACTGAACTTGTTCGTCTGTGTCATTTTAAAGTCGAAAATGTGATAAGGCGAGGAATGGGTGGAAAATGAGGCCATGGATATTTTGGTCCCGAAAGTGATTAGCATTGTCATACAAACAAGTTTATATAATGTCCCATACAATTGTAAACTTAATTATTAATTGTCATTTTAGTATTTAAATATAATTAATGTTATTATTTTATTCACATTTGTTTTTTAAGTTTGGAGTAATATGATTATTTATTTATACTTTTGAGAAATTATTTGACATTTTTTTAACTTTAGAGACTAATATGATAATATTTTTTAAATTCACTGAGCAAAACGACTATTTGTTTGACTAATCATTCGGTAAAAAATTGCTATTGACATTGAGACTTTTTGTCCTTTTACCATTTTTTGTTTATTCAAAGGTGAAACTCACTCTTCAAAGATTGGCCAATACCTATAAAATCAAAAGATGATTAAGAAATTATGTAGTGATCTTGCTTAAGGTTAGGTTGAATTTCAATGATTGTTGCTAATCTCTATTCGGGACTTTCCTTGCAATTTCTGCCAGGTACTCTCCGAAAGCAACTTTTTAACCAGTTGGCATCATGTAAATCTGTTCTTAGTAGTTTACATACATGTAGTCTTGTCACCTGCGGTGTTTGTATTTATATTGTAATTATAATGCCAATCCAACCGTAGTTGCAAAGTTATCTTAGATTATTTGTTTCCTTGCAGCAATGTTCCGACAGTATCTAGAGTATTTCTTACGGACATTCTTGGTGCTATATGGTCTTTGTTGTGTACTCTCTTGTTTATATCTGAGCAACTAACCATGGATCAAAAACCAAAAAAAATCCGAGCAATTAAAAATGAGGGTCACAATGTGAGTTTGCAAGATGCGATCACAAGGTTTTCTTTTTCTTTTTCAACCAAGTTTCTGCACCAAAAGTCAATTTTGAGCTTATTAGACCATGGATTTTCAATGTGAACTGAAATATGAACAAGGGTTATGGAATTCCGTACAATTTTTAAATTTTTAAAATTTTTACTTTATCAATATCATTATTTTAAGTCACCATGGTATGAAATATGCACCAATTTTTTTGTTGGACAATTTTGCCAGCCATTTCTAGTAGATTTTTTTTAATCACATTTTTTTTCATTTCTAAAATTCAAAATCAAGACCTTAGTTAAGAGTTTTAAGTTGAATTCTATTTGGATCAATGACATGTTAATTTTATTATTATGATCTTTGATGTTTTGAACTAATTTTTATTAATTATACTGTATTGAGTATGTTTGTTTAAACTTAAAAAAAACATTTATAAACAAGTATTTTTTTTTAAATAATTATGGGTCTGTTTAAATAAATAATTTCTTTAATATCTTATTTAATAAGTTTTGTGTAATAAAAATTTGTGTTATACTTATAAGTATTTAAAATTTAATAAGTTATTGCATTTGGATATACATGTTAACAAACACTTGTACAATTTTAAAGTGTTTGGATGTATTATTATTTAAACACTTATAAGATGTTATCTCATTTTAAAAAATTAAAAAAAATTTTAACTAGAAATAAAAAAATATATAAGTAACTAAATAAATTTTTTTAAAATGACATTATACATCATAATAAATTTAAAAATAAAAAAATTACTAGTCACTATTCACCTAATTTTAATTTATAAAAAAAAATAAAATTTAATAAGATATATATGAACAACCATTATTAAAAATTAAGAACCATAAATCTAAAAAATTTAAAAACAATTCTATATATTTTTATAGAATAACGATTAAAAAAATATTATATAAATATCAACAATAGTATTATTTTAGATGTGCTAATTTATGAGGTTTCTTTTATAATAACAAAATGTGAATTTTGGAAGGAAGAGATAGAAAATTAAATTGAAAGAGAAGAGAAAAAATAAAAAAGGATAAAAGCTTTTAGAGGAAGAAACGAAAACATTTGGATAAAGTAATAAAAAAACTATAAAATTGATTTTTAGTGAAATAATGAAAAAAAAAAATTACAAATTCAAATTAGATATTTTCCAATAAGTTTTCTTACTTATAAGTTAAGTAATAAACTATACTATTATAAGAACTTATAGAATAAAATAAATAAAAATAAACTGTTGATAAGTCTTTCAAATGGAATTTTTTAAGAAGTAGATAAGAGTTGTTTCTAAAAAAAATAAAAAATTTCTTATTTAAAAAAAAATAAATTTAGACAAATATATAAAGAGCTAAAAATTGCTTCTTTTTTTTTTATTTTATTTTAAATAAACGCTTTTATAAGAAAAAAATTAAACACATAAACCCATTATAGATTTTTATTTTAATATTTTTTTTATTGTTTATTCTAAAGTGTGATTATTATTTATTTATTTTACATAAAAGTGTGATTAGTTTTGATTGGAGTAGGGGAAATAAATGAGTTGAAATCCATAATAATTCTTAATTAGTTCAAGATTTTAAAATCTTATTGGGCAACCTTATTATAAAAAAATGAGGTTGGTCACTTAAAATAGATGTCATAGAAACTCGTCTCTTAAGCAAACTTTGCATCTTTTAATTAGTGACATAATGGATGAAGATATTTAGATAGCATTTGCGCAATTATAGTCCCTACAAGATAACAAACCATAATACACGACATTTTTTCACTGATGCTTGGATCCTAATAATTTCTTCACTGTGTGTTTAGTAGTGAGGAAAAAATAGGTGAGAAATAAAATAATAATAATAATAAAAAGAAATAAATAAGAAATTTAGTGGAATTTTAGTTTTTCATAAAAAACATGTAAGAAATAGATAGAAATTTTATTATGTATATTTGACATAGGTGAGAAATAATATATATA